AAATACTTCGAATGGTCCAGCTCCGTGATGGTCATATTAATTAAGCTTTTAATCATTCTATTGCTAACCGCTGTCTCTCTTGTATATTTCGCACGAATTTAGCGCATGGTATTATTCTGTAGAAAGAACAATAAGACTAATAACAGCCAGTTAAAAAGTTCAATTGGATATACGCGCAGCTGGTACGATTGCACGTGTACCAACAACTTCATCTTGTCTAGATAGTATCTATTTTAATAAAAACCGATGACACATCGTTGAAACTTTTTTGTGCAAGATGAGTCAAGGTTATAATTATATCAGTGCTTTTGTCATCAGTTTCATAGAAATGATTACACGCGTATATATTAAAGACTATTAAGATCAACATAAAAATAATATACAATGTTACGAATTTATTATATAATTCTGGACGTCTATGACCATAAGTAGATATCATTCTTATCGAATCCTTTAATCTCGATTTAATTACCATGATACTGATATTACACGGAAAATTAGTTTAATAAACTTGATATTAATAGATACAACGTTACCAGCGTCTAATTATAATCTCGGACGCACGTTCACCGTACGGTAGGAAAAAAGGAACTTTTGAGCGAGTCGAGATAGTAACGCTTTGCACGCAAGGTGTTAAACGCCGTGTTAACCGTAATGTGCGTATAGTATGCAAGACACTGATTAATTGTGTAACGTTATCTCATTGTTATATTTATCAGTATTAATAGTTTAATCACGTTAATTTGTTATAAACGGTATAAAGTTTTAGAATTTACGTGCGAATAAACATATACAATAAAATTATGAATTAATAATGCGATTCTGTCGTTAATTAATAATGTGTTTATTAAGGATAGTTTACGGAAAATGTTATTAAATAAATTATAGCTAATAATGTGTGTGTGATATGTAAAATCAGTTTTAAATATTTTGTATACTGTTATTGTTTAAATGCTATCTAAAATACTATATCGTGTGTGTGTGAGTGCGTACACGCGTGTGTGCGTAGTAAATCTAATGCGGACAATTTCGGGAATACTTCAATCATTTGTCAGTCGGATGCAATTATGCAGTTATCACGCTAGCTGCGGTCTTCTAATAATCACCAGTCAGTGTCAGTAAGAGAGATATATTTCGCACTCTCGGCATTCCGCGTGATTGACAGCAGCATATTTCCGTACTCCGAAATATTATAGCGACACTGAGAGCGGAAATAATACGAGAGAGTTCATAAAATTAAGAAGGAACAATCTCATTGATCGATATCGCGTCAATACTACTTTCATGGAAGTTTTGTATTCTTATTTTCTATGACAAACGATCATTGCCATGTGTAGGAATGAAAGATAAATTTCAGTTAAGCCTTCCCGAGTGTCAGCGCAAACGACACCGGAGGGAGACGAATAAAGGTAAAACAGATTTCGCGTCTCAACTTCGAAGAAGCGGATTACGTATTTCCGGACTGCAACATTTTCCCGGTATTTAAAATTTAACTTGAATGTCTCAAAGCTATTTCGTTATTCATTAAGGTGACGATTCCAACTGTAATTCAAAGCCTAATTATGGATCAAACTTGTAAAATTAAATATTTTAGAGATAACATATATTAATAAAGTTATAGGAAACCGTTTTGGAATTTTTTGTAATTATTGTATAAAATCGCTTTTTTAATCGTTACTAATATTTCAGAAAAAAAAGCGGAAAACATTATTTTAATAATTCCTTGAAATTATGATACTCTTACAATAAACTGTATTAATAGTATATTGCTATGTTACATATGTTAAAATAATCAATATTCAAAATATGAATATTGATGTTATTGATGTAAATACTTTTACATTAAAAAATTTTACACGAAATAATCTGTTGATTCACAATTGCGACTTATATATAAATATTTTTTAAAAGCTTGAAGTTTATTCAATACGTAATAATTTTTCTCTTTAAAAATATAATATTTACTGCTTATATTAATAAATTTCTTAATGTTTAATTGTTACATAAATTAATAAAAATAACTAACCTTAAATGACCCTACAATTAGGACAATCACCTTACACATCTTTATCACATGTATTTCCTATATATTTTATATCTAAAAATAATCCCGTTATGTATATTATATATTTGAACTTTAAAAAACATTTCAATATCAAATTTATGTATGTATTCGATATCTCATATAGACGGCATTTGCATTTTGACATTTAACATGATCTCTTTGGAGAGAATAACAATTAAAATTCATCTCGTTCATTCTTCTGAATGGGCTTCGTATCTTTTATATCTGTACATTGTATACGCGTAAATATCAATACGTGCATGATTGTCGAAACATCATAAATGACATTTTTGTTTCTATCATGAATAATTTTTAAGTACAGAAATAATTATATTAAATTATATTAAATAATATGGATGCAGGAAATTGTAGAATTAATTTTGAAAAACATAAATCAATCAAAAGCAAACGAATATCGAAAATTCGTTGGAAACTGGCAACAAAAATCTAATACAACTTCAACTGATTATGCACCTGTTTTTCTAGCGTACAAATATATATTTAACTTTTATTGGTATATGTGGTACAAACTTTCCTCGCTAGTTATTTTGTAATACAGCTAACTTTTTTATAACTGTACCATATTCTGAACAGAGAAATAGAGAAAGATTTTTCAAAGTATATTTTAAAAGGAGCAAAGTTTCTCTTGAATTCTTATTGTCTCGTAACTATAAAGAAAGAGATGCATAAACTTTCATTTCACACCACATAAATATTAAAAACAGATCTCTTTTTATGTAATTTTTAAAGTTTACATAAAATTAATCTCATATGTGATTTTAAAATCATGAGAAAAGTTTTTATTTTATTAATATTATAACACTAAAAAGTGTTATGAATACGCATGTGTAAGGCTTTCATTTCAACACATTATCTCAAAATTACCAATCCATTAATACAATTCAAAAAGAACGCTACATAATTTATATCAGTTAAGTTTAACACGCATTTTTGCTATACGCTGTGTCAAAGGCTTTCTTTCGGAATCGTCATTATCATAAAGATCCTTTCCATCACGAATTTTTCCTTCACTCAGCAGCATTGCCTCTTTTTCGTGTACATGATTCAAAATCGATTGGCACAAAAACCGCACTCGGTCCACGAAGCGTTGGCTTGAAAGGTTCTCAATCATTCGGTTTTGCGAGCGAATCGATCGCCAATGGTCATTACGAAAACGTAGGACTATTCATTTACACACAATCATTTTGAAAATACGTCGTTCCGATGGACTAAAGTTTCTCGTCTTCAGCATAAAGTGGAGATTATATAACGATTCTCAGTCAATAGCTGATAACCTGATGAGATTGAAACGAAAAAAAAAGGCACGTTTAATTCTGATAACACAATCAACTACTCAGATTATAACAAAACTCAAGCTGTGACATACGCGTTGACGTCCACTATGCGAGTTATTACGCTAGTACTGAATGTTGTCACAACAGCTAGTTTTCCTATAATGTAAAGTTTCTACATTTGTATAAAGTCCGCGGGGGCGCGTATTGTTACACCTTTGTACACCGCGGTAAGGCACTCTTTTGCGACAGGTCAAAGAAACTTCAACGTAGAGAAGCTCACAGCGCTTGTGACGTCTCTGACGACCTTGAGTACGATTCTTCCTCCGCTTATGAATCGCGTTTCTCTGTATGAGACACCATTACCAGAATAAACATAGTCAGCGCGCTAGATTCAAACGTGAAGTTGATCAAAATCCAATCGGTTGAAGGCTAATCCCCGAATAAACTTTATTTTTCTGAAGCATACGTAAATCTTGCGATAATATAATGTTTATAATCTGAATAGGAACCATTTGTATCGCTACCATTTAACATTACATACTTTAGATTATAGATAAAAAAATAAAATATTTTGCAAAATTAAGCAAAGTAAAAGAATGTTTATAATCGTGTGCAAAATTCTGTATAAATAAATTCTATAAAGAAAAAAAGTGTTTTGAGAAAACTGTTAGTGCAATAATCAATATATTTCGATATCTCTCCCTTGGCCTACTCTTATAGGAAAGATAAGAAGATCAAGTGTCTTGAACTTGATACTATTCAAAATGCGCTGGCGGGACTATCAGTTTTATTTAAATATATAATTTCTTCTCGAAAAGTTGCCTTGTCAAGTGCAAAGCTGACTAATAGTTATAATAATGTATTTCTCGTGCACCCTTATAGAATCCTTGTCAAAAATGTGTAGTCTGCAATTTAAGATTTATTGTATTTCGACATGTCAAGTTAACATTTTATTAACCGTAAGATAGAGCATACAAAAGAGAAACTCGCTATAAGGGGTTAAATCAGACGCAGTTTGATCATTCATTTGTAACACAAGTTCTATGATTTGGTCAAGGTCGCGTCTCTTGACCATGCTATAATCAAGGTTCATCGGTTTATCCCATCTCGAACTGTAAAATAAAAAAACTGCAAGGAGAGGAAGTAAACGTGGCAATGTCCGTCCACGAGACAAAACACCGCCCACGAGCAGTCGTGCGAGTAGGTGAAGTCACGCGACGCTATGCTCTTCCATGAAATATAAAGTCACGGTAGAGAAAGAGTGTAAGAAGTAAAGGGGTGAGCTGTGCAAGTACATATATATGAAAGGGTAGAAAGGGATAAAGAAAGGAAGTAAGAGAGAGAGAGAGAGAGAGAGAGAGAGAGGAAAAGAGAGAAACCAAGAAAAAGTATAGAGCTAGGCGAACAGTAGAGGGAGATAGCTAGAGAGAAAAAGCGCGTGTAGACAGAGAGGCGGGGTATAGATAGCGGTAACAGTAGTATCTATACGAAAGAGTTAATGGATGGAAAGAGATGACGCGACATAGAGTGAAAAGGGAATCGTAGAACAAGACAGACTGATCGATCTGTATAAAAGTAGACAAAGACAGGGTCAGACGATCGCGAATGTATAACGGTTCGCGTACACATTCCGTACATACCGACGGCATCAGCTGATCGGTAGACCTGACCCGGGTCACCTTGTTTCTGTAGAGTATCCTTTTGACTATTTTCTCCATTGGCTGGTTCCACTTCATGAAGCTTACATATCCCAAGTAGAATCCAAATAGCACAAGTGCCTCATACCAGTATATGTAACTATCGCGGAAGAAGTAGATCAGAGTGAGCAGACTGGCGCTATAGAAAGTGCAGTCGCGAAATAGAGGCCACCATGTGAGCGATAGCACCGTACGCGAGAATATAGCGCACATGCCGATCACGAAAAGGATGTTGAAGACGGCGGAGCCGACGATAGTGCCGATACCGACATCGTCGAACGACACGAACACGCCTATGATCGATGTGAAGAGTTCGGGCGCCGATCCACCGGCCGCCATGAAAGTAGCACCGGCCACATCGTCGGCGATATCGAGCTTCTCGATAATCACGTCTAATGACGGTACGAAGAACTCGTCGCAAACGATTGCTAGCGCGACGAACATGTACACCACGCCAAGTATGTGAAGTATCACGGCACCGCGGCGTCGTTGTTCATTGGTGAACAGATCGTCGGGGAAGAGCGGCCTCTTCTCCGTATCGTTACCGTTAGTCCTATTATGCCCGTCAAGACCCGCAACGTTAACACCGTTGTTCTTGCTATCGTACACTTGCACGCTGGTACCGTTACTCAGCCGTATTAGAATGGGCATGGCTGTGCTACTCGTGGTGGTATGAAATGTGATCGGATTGTTCGGCGCCGGTCTGTGGCCCGAAGACGCCGAGGGACCCATCGCGAAGGCTAAAATCGCGGAGAGCAGAGTAATCAACGCCAATCGGCGTCTCCGCCTCCAACATGTACGCCGATCACCGCCCGTCACGATCGTCATCGTCGTCGGCGGTGGTGCTGCTGTTGGTGGTTCGCACCTTCGAGGACGTTCGCCGTCGTTAGCGAGGCCTCCTCCTCCTCCTCCTCCTCCTTCGCCACCTTCTTCTTCTTCTTCTTCTCCGTCCTCCTCGGCGTCCTCCACCCTCTCTCTCTGGCCCCCTCCGCCGCCAGCACCACCTCCGACTTCTCCACCACCTTCCTCTACGTGTCGTATCGTGTCGCGCCGCGGAGGGTGTACGACAGGAGAGCCGTACTAAGGCTGGGTCATGCTGGAGCGGCGATGAGGAGCGGCTCCTTGCCGATGCCTCCCTCTGGATGGACCTACCTGCGTGTGACCGCGGTAGTCAATCCTCCACTATAGCTCGCGTTTTCCTTCTCTCCGTTTCCCCACAATGCGTCCTCCTCTTTCTCGTTGCTATATCTCGCCGAGCTTTTTCACTGGATGTTCACGATGTGCGGACTGACAGGATTAGTCCGCGACGTGTACTACGGTTACTACTACTACAACTACTGCTGATATACGCCGCTACTACGAACAGGCTCGGGTATTCGACGCGACCAATATTCTTTTGCTTCCCGGCGGCGTCGGCGTCATCGTCGTCGTCGCCGTCGTCGTCGCCGTCGTCGTCGTCGTCGTCGTCGTCGCCGTCGTCGCCGCCGTCGTCGCCGCCGTCAGCTACGGAGTGAGGAAATGCATTCTGGTAGTTTTGGCGCAAGAGATATAAATGTTCGTCGTCGTCGTCGTCGTCGTCGTCGTCGTCGTCGTCGCCGTCGTCGTCGCCGTCGTGGTCGCTAGGATGCGGTGGATGGTGCATATAACCCTGGATGGATATACAGGAGCAGCAGAACGGCGCCCCCGCCGCGATGCCCGCCCGCTGCACACTGGAACAACCCTATTCCGTTCCGTTCCTCTCTCTCGCTTTACTCTCTCCCCCTCTTTTGCGTCCGCCGACGTCGCACTCCCTCCTTCTATCTCTTTCTCCCACCGAATTCCTTCCTTCGATCTTCTCTGTCTGCCACTGAGACTTCTCTTTTGCTCTTTCGATTGTCTTTCATTCTCATTTGCTGCCGATTCCCCTTTCAACCCTCTTTATGATAACAGAATCCCTCTTTCTTCTCTCTTGCTCCTTTTTCGTTTAGTATCCGTCTTATAGCGCCTGTCGTTTATCTTCGTCGCACTAGCGATTGTCCACGATTCTTTAACCTCTTCTTTCACCAATCTCTCGCTCTCTTTTTCATTGAGGTACTCACATTTTTGCGAGCAGAGAGACCACTTTTCTATATTATCTTCCTCCTTCGTCCGGCGTTCTCCACTCTATGCTTTCCTCTCGTTTACTTTCGTTCCCTTTCCCTCCTTTCATCCCTGACATCGTCTATCTCCCTCTTCGTGAGAGATAGATCCTCCGTTCGCTCTTTCCCGTGCAGGGGAAGCTTTCTGCTTTCTCACTCCGCACCGGCAGTGTTACCCCGTGCGTCGCTCTTTTGCACCAGCCGACATCCGTGGCGACCCACCCTACTCCGCCGAAATCGCTCCTCGAACGTTATCCATCTCATTTTGCGATGGCTTGCCACCCTGAGTTCTTCTCTCTTCCACTTGCCGCGACACCCGCGAGTTCCTCCCCCAACGCGTATCCACGAGGAGGTGGTAGGTCGTGGAAGTGGGAGTCTGCGCACGTGTGAGCACCCCTCGCCGGGCCTCCCGCTCGATATCGGACCGACTCCACAACTCCACGTTACGAATGCACGTATAACGGGTGTCATCCGGATGGATTCCAACCGTCCGTCGCGCGACATACGTATACGTGCCTGTCTTCGCCAGTTCGGCAACGACTACTCCTTCCAGAGGATCACGTTGCGGTGAGCAGATAGCTCAGTGCCGAACAACCAATCTTCTACGTCGAAAGACATAGGTATACAGGTGTGATTTACATCGCAAGCAATGACAAATCTTTGGATTCTGCAAGATCGGAACTGACCAACGCAACAAAAAAAAACCGTGACATTCTGCTACATAATTTTCTATGTTAAAGTCAATTGGGCTAAAATACAATCGAGGACATCTATCAAGTGTGCTTTAGGCTTTTGGGGATAGCCTCGTTTCCCCCCGAAGTAACTGGTCGAAATAATCGATGGCGCGTGTATCAGCTCTACATGCCTCTGGTCTTTTAGATTTATCTCCTCCGTGCGCGCGTAGCCTTTTCTCTATTGCGTTTGTCGATTGCGAATCAGATTTATTTGAGATCTGCCGTATATGTTTGGTCAAAGGAAAATGAAAAGGAATTTATCGAGAAGTTTTTTCTTCTTATTGGACTTTAATAATACATATTGGATATATGTCAGTGATGTTCTTCCTCGCGCGATTATTTCTAAGAAGTATATATGTACATATGTTATTTTCTTAGAATATAGAATTCTGATCGAAATTCGATTCTTTCGAAATTAAATTTTTAAGATATATTATTTAACATTGTGACTTTTATTTTGTATAGACTATAAAATTCATAGATAACATTTTTAAGTTCGATTTAGATATTCATCACAAATAATCCATTGATATATATAATATACACGATGATCAATATAAATGACTAATAAAATATTCACGATTGCTTATTCCACACACACAATATTCATTTTATAATCTTAATTTGCGTTAAAATTAAATTTGATTTTATTATAGTTTTAATTTGAAAAATACATATCATATTCAAAAATATTTTCTTCATCCTATTCTGAGTTGTTGTTAAGAAATACTAATAATAAATTGCATTTGTCATTCGACTAATATATCTATTTACAATTTCTAGCATAGTGTTGTATATTGTTGAATTTAGCAGTTTAACGAGGAATTATATGTCACGCCCATCTAACAATAAATAAACGTGTTATATTTTCCATTATTATTCTGTGAGTTACTTTAAGTTACCTAACGTAACTAATTTATAGTTGTGAGTATCTTACTTATTGTTAGTCTAGAGTTTCAAACTTAGAAAATGTTCTTGAATAAGAGCATGAAACGGTAAGCTATGTTTTGTAACACCTCACAAATAAAGATCAGTCTGTATATGTAATATAAAACTCTCGCACCTCCTTCAATATAAACTAACAGTACTTGGATACAACCATGTACCGCTACGGATATTGAAGGTGGATAAATCTCTATTATTCCTTTATACTTCCTCTTATCATATATTGCCCGAAGACTAACCGAATAGCATTGACGAAGCATTCAATAGTTTGCAAATCACATACAAGAGAAAGAAATAATCATTTTGATACATAATCATTTCATTATCATTTTATCATAAAATATGTTTGTATCCTCAATATTCATAAATATTTTATTCATAGGAATATATTAAATATTATAATATATTCATGGATAATTTTAATAGGATTTCTCATAATTTCGTGTTAATTGAACCAAAAATTCAAGTTATATATTATTTCCAAAAATTCGAGATGTATATATTGACCGAATAAACGTTCTTTTTTACAAAGTTAGTTTATCTGATCGATGAATTGCTATGTCATAGGCTGAAATTGTTTCCAGAGTATAGCCTTTTCTAAAACTTTGATGTTAAACAGATAAAACTTCAAAATTTATCAATAATAATGTTCGATTAAAAAAAATGTAATAAATTGTACAAGGCAAGTAATTTAGCTCTTTTTCGTTTAATACTGTTATTGAGATTAATAGGAATAAGTAGTTAGGAGTATTCTCGAACATACATGTGAAACTTCTATTAATAATTGTTCTATCACGTGTTAGTTACTTATTGGAATATATTTTCTACTTGTGATTTTCGGCAAAAGTCAAGGTACATGAGGGAGTGACAAAAAACTTCGTCTCAAGGAGGCACGTGGAAGGGTAATGTTATCCAGGGGTGGATATTCCCTCAGTCCCCACAACTTTATCCTGGCTATGCCACCCTTAGACCACTTTGTTATATCCCAGAAGTCGTTACAGTTATTAACGGCTGTCGACGGTACTTTTAAGCTTTCGTCTCGCGCTTCTCACCGCATCCGGTTTCCGATTGCGTTGAAAGATCTTAAGGGAAAGGTACGCGGAGTAGAATGACGCAGAAACGAGTTGCGTCATTCTATTTTCAATTCAGCATTATTAATGTTTATAAAAATTTTTTATTTGCTTGAGATTATTTTATGTATATCATTAAATAATTTTTCTCTAATTTGAATAAAATGAGAAATTTTCTTCTCATTTTGTGGATCTATCATGCGCCTAAAAAATTTGCAAATTTTTTTATTTTCTAACATGAAAGCTTTTCACATTTCCTTTATAAAATGGTTTTTAAAAATGTTCTTAAGATTTTTTTGTTCCTAAGCTATTCCAGATGAAATAAAACAATTTTAAATTCGACTGTTTATAATTTAATTTAAAAATCGTCGTAATTTAAAAAATACATTAAATAGTATAACAAATAAATTTTTTTTATGAACATATAATCATGATAAAATAAAGTAGCGCTGCAAACTTTTGCTCCAATTCAATACATTCATGTTTTAATATCATACTTATACAGAATGTTTCAGGATTTAACAGAAGATTAAACTGCGGGAGCAAATTCTACAAGTGGAAATAAGAAAAAAATGTTATATGAAGTTTGCAAATGCTTTATTACAAAGCTGTAAATAAATTACGCGCAGTCGAAATGATACTGAATCATTTAAAGATAGTAAATATGGTGTGAATAAATATGAAATTAACATGCGTTCGACCTTTCCGTACACGAAATGTACACTTTCATCTTCTGCATAATGCAAAATCCATTATTCCCTATTTCCCTATTCTATTTCAATATTTGTTTATAATTTTATAATAAAGCATTTCTCGCTAAACTTCGTATAACATTTTTGTTCTTATTTCCACTTGTTTAATACGCTCCCGCAGTTTGTCCGTTAAATCCTAAAACACTCCGTATATTACGATATTTTGTGGAATTTTAAATTTTCTAAATTTATCAAACTACTATTCGGCGTGTGGAAATATTTACTTATATAAGCAATATGAAATCATAATATTTGTCGTATTTCTGGTAGATATGAATATATTTTTCATTACGTAAATGTGTATCATCTGTTAAATATTCTTTACTATGACTATGTTTACTTTTTCGTATAGTGTAACTATTATATATTGAAGCCGCAAAGCTGACTCAACCATGCGTTCCAGAGAATAAAGGTCAACTCCTGTATCTCTTGGTTCGTAGCTGTACACATTACC